GTATGATTAATGCATGCTTCGTGTGCAGTTTGGCTCAAGGCATTCCCAGGATCTCAGAAGCACATTCACAGTGGAGAACAGTGTAAATGCAGTGTCTGTAAATTGGATTTGTGTTTCTGCCTGATATTTTCCATAATGTTTCTAGCCATTTTGGCTAGTTATTAAAGCTATTTATCAGAGATGGGCCACCAGACTGGAACAATGAGTCCTAATGCTTTTGAATGTTGGGAAAGTTTGGATCAGGACCTAAATTTAGTGACTGCCCTCATTTCTCTAGTAGGTCAAATCAAAACTGTAGCTCCAAACACTCCCAACTTTGAGGAAGTTCTGATGCAGATCCAAATCCAAACTTTTTAGCTCAAGCCCATCTCCAAAACTTATTTAAACAAGTTTTCTCCTCCCATCCTCTCTCACTTGATCCTACAGTGAAGTCATAGTTCATCATTTGAAAACATGCATTCTTATGTCAGCAAACTATCATAACCCAGAGTATTATATTATGCTCTCCACAAATAGGGGACAGGAATGGATACATAGATATGTAAACAGATAGACAATATGTGCATTTCCATTCAGTAGTTTTGAATTTGAACATAGCTGCAATCCTGCTATATGTAATTAAGTAGCAAACAAAAATATATCTTCAGAAGAGCATCTCAGTACAGACCTTCACGTACCTGGAAAAGCAGGAGCTGTAGCAGGAGTCTCTGCTCCCTCTGTGGGAACGCCCAAGGTCTGAAGAGTATATTCTGCAGCATATGTCTTGGCTTCCTCAACATAAGCACTAAGCTTAGGAGGTGTGAAGGGATGTCTATGAATCAGAAATAAAACATTAGCTGTTTTTACTATTCTAACGATCAGACACAAACTCCTCACAGACCAGGACACACCAACTCAGAGTGGCACCAGCCCCTGCCAGAACAACAGATGCAAAACCTGCAGCCATACCTCCTCTGCTACAATGATCCAAACCTCCCACAATGCACCTTTCAAGCTCCATGGGCCCTACACCTGCCGACCACAACATGTGATGTATCTCATCCAATGCACTAAATGCCCTCAAAACAACTATGTGGATGAAACCAAACAAGCACTATGCTCTCAAATAAATTCAAATTATAAAAGACAAAAACGCTGTATCACCCATGGGTGAACACTTTTCACAAAATAATGACTACATATCTGACCTCTCAGTCTTTATCCTCAAAGGAAACCTGCACAACACCTCCAAAAGATGAGTCTGGGAGTCTAAATTCATAACTTTACAAGACTAAAAATCATGGACTGAACAGAGACACTGGATTTATAGCTTAGTACAACCAGCTATAACCCACTTACTCTTATCACCCCTCCCCCCACAGATGTCTTTGTTTTCCCTCTCCCTTTCTTTCCCCCCTATGACCGGAGGGGTGTTAAGGGTTACTAATGCTAGTCTGTTCTAACATGTATTTAGCTGTGACACTCTGGGTATGTCTATACCGCAATTAGACACCTGCGGCTTACCTGTGCCAGCTGACACAGGCTCGTGGGGCTGTTTAGTTTTGATGTAGACATTTGGGCTTCGGCTGGAGTCTGAGCACTGGGCCCCTCCCACCTTGCAGGGCCCTAGTGCCCAGGCTCCTGCCTGAGCCCGAACGTCTACATTGCATTAAACAGCACCTTAGCCTGAGCCCGCTGAGCCTGAGTCAGCTGGCACGGGCCAGCTCCTGGTTTTTAATTGCAGTGTAGACAAACTCTCAGAGTACAATTCCCAGCCCTACAGAACAGCTCTGAGTAAGCTCAAAAGCTTGTCTATCTCACCAACAGAAGCTAGTCCAATATAAGATATTACCTCATCCACCTTGACTCTTGGATATCCTGGGACCAACGGGGCTACAACAAAACTGCATCCTATTCTAAGGATGACAGTGTGACAATTCATACCCCCTGTCAAGTATTTTGCTCAAATAGAAAAATGGTGCATTATTGATATTCTGAGAGAATGTGTATTTGAGAAAAACACTACTATAAAAGAAAAACACTTACTTAATATTAATGTATGCACTAGTACAAAATGTTAGCAGCCTGAAGTTCACGGTTCATGCAGGAAAAAAAGCCATGTATCTTGAAAACTTGCATATTTCTGCTTATTTTTGCAAACTCCCTCAAACTGGAGGTGTAACTTTTAAATATGGAGTGGATATTTGTTAAATATGACTCATCAACAATTCTTTTTGATTACATGATGTGGTGTGATCTGGTGAAATGTATCCGAAATATTGTTATAGGTTAGCAGTGGAAATATACCCTGTTTGATTCCTAGTTGGTATAATTATAGACAGGGTTAGTGGCACGGCCTATTATTAAGGTTGCCCAACACTTCCCATTGTAAGACCCTTATACTTTGTTTATACTTTGCTAAATTTTAACTGTTTGGACTGAAATTTTCCAAGCTAGTTGTCTGCCTCAGACTGATTTTAATTTTTTAATTTGGAAAATTAAAAAATGGTTCATCCATTTCCAAAAGTTAAGTTTATGGGAAAATATATTGTTTTGCTGACTGTTAAAAAATCCTGGAGATCTTTTCTTTGAAAAGCTGTAATGCCCCAATGCTTTGGAGCAGGGGCTTGAAATTTGGCAGAGGGTCACGGTGGCCTTTGCATCAGGGATCTGATTTTTGCCATCCCTGTGAAAAATCTGCCAAAATTTGGCTAAGTTAAAAGCCTTTGAAAAACTGCAGTTCACACAGGCTCAGTAGAGTCTTGCCAGAGCTTTGCAGCTAAGTTCACCAAAGATTCCGTGCACATTGGGAATGCTCCAGTCAGAAGATGAGCATGACTATCCCTGCATTTGCAGCTCTGCTCTTATAAGGGCTGGACGGGGCAGGGCCAGGCTGTATTTGAGTACCAGAACTGAGAGCATGGAGCCTAACTCTTCTGTGTTCTCAGTGCCACCATAACCCGCAATGGGCCCAGGCAACATGAAGGAAGAGACTTCTGGTTTTGAATGCAGGGGGGGACAAGGGCTGGACCAGGGGGGGTCAGAGGGAGTAGATTGGAACAAGGAAGTGGGGGGGTGGAAACTGGGACTGGAAGCTGGTAGCAAGGGGAGAAGGATACTGGGAGTTGTGGGGAGGGAGGGTCAGATCTGACAAGGAGCTGGGGTATAGGGGGAGAACTGGCATTGACTAGACAAACAGACTGGGACAAGCAGCCAGTGGTGGGTGGACACTGAATTTGGATGAGGAACTCAGGGTCTGTGAGACAGTGGGGATGAGCAAGATATATAAGGGTAGGGTGGTGACTGGAGACCAGGGGCTGAGTGTGGGGGGGCAGATTAACTACGGGGCTAGGAGGGCGGGAACTGGGACTGGCTGGACAAATGTCTGGGGAGAAGGAACTGGGGGGGGGGGGGGGGGGGAGGGTGGGGGGGGGGAGGGGACGGGGGGGGGTGGGGGGGGAGATTGAGCCTGGAAGGAGGAAGACTACAGCTAGCTGGGCAAGGGGACTGGGACTGTGTCATAACTATAAAGGGAAGGGTAACAGCCCTCCTGTGAACAATACTATAAAATCCCTCCTGGCCAGAGACTCCAAAATCCTTTTACCTGTAACGGGTTAAGAAGCTCAGGTAACCTGGCTGACACCTGACCCAAAGGACCAATAAGGGGACAAGATACTTTCAAATCTTGGTGGGGGGAAGGCTTTTGTTTGTGCTCTTTGTTTTGGGGGGAGTTCGCTCTTGGGACTAAGAGGGACCAGATATCAATCCATGCTCTCCAAATCTTTCTGAACAAGTCTCTCATATTTCAAACTTGTAAGTACAGTCAGGCAAGGCGTGTGAGTTTTATCTTTGTTTTCTCAACTTGTAAATGTACTTTTTGCTAGATTGTTTACCTCTGTTTGCTGTAACTTTGAACCTAAGGCTAGAGGGGGTTCCTCTGGGCTCTTTAAGTTTGATTACCTTGTAAAGTTATTTTTCATCCTGATTTTACAGAGATGATTTTGACCTTTTTCTTTAATTAAAAGCCTTTTTTAATAACCTGATTGATTTTTCCTTGTTTTTAGATCCAAGGGGATTGGATCGGAATCCACCAGGAGTTGGTGGGAGAAAGGAGGGGGTATGGTTAATTTCTCCTTGTTTTAAGATCCAAGGGGTTGGATCTGTGTTCACCAGGGAGTTGGTGGAAGAGTCTCTCAAGGCTACCCAGGGAAGGGAGTTAGCCCACTGGGAGTGGTGGCAGTGGACCAGATCTAAGCTGGTAGTTAAGCTTAGAAGTTTTCATGCAGGCCCCCACATCTGTACCCTAAAGTTCAGAGTGGGGAAGGAGTCTTGACAGACTGGTATGAGAAGCCTGAGGAGTGGAGATTAGGACTGGGTAGGTAAGGAGTCTGGGATGAGTAGTAGGGTGGGGAAGAGTTGAGCCTTGGACAGGGATAAGTTGGAGGGGACAAGGCAGAAAGAGTCAAGCTTGAGGAGAGCGGGCAGAAGAGATTGAGCCTCTACAGACCAGGGAATAGAATCCAAGATTCCTGAATCTCACCATTCCTCTGTTGTCAGCAAATACCTGTGAAACCCACTAGCAGAGTGTGTGATGAATCCTGCTCTAGTGATGGTTCATGTACAGGATCACAGCCCACTACTGCTATTAGCTCACGTGACAGAAGTCTGAGGTGGGTCTCCTAAAGGTTCCAAACCTGCTGATGAACCATGTGGGTATCAATGTGATGCCACTTGATGGAATTTCTGTTTATTCAGTTTGCTTTTTAAAAATCCTAAGAAATTACCCAGCAAAAACTATTTAAAAACATTATTAAGGTTGCAAAGTCAATTACTTAAAAGTTAGGAAATTCCAGAATTAAGGTTGCCTGTGCAACTTTAATTTGTCTCCTTTATACATATGCTTTGATACAGCCTTTAGTTACCTGATCATGTACTATTTTTTCTACAGGACTCTTGCCTCATTTAGTAGACAGGATGGATAGTGCATACTGAATGAGTAGCTATCTAATGTTTTGTTTTATCCTCCTTGTTCAATGTAGAACTTTATCCTTCCTCTCCAAATCTAAAATTATAATAAATAGTGGCCTATGTAGTTGATTCTAGCAATGATGCTAAATAAATAGAAAATTTAAAAAAACTGATTAAAAACCATACGAAATGGAATAGTTACATACATAGTAGGATTCTGGCTGGCAAGGGCAGGAATAGTGATTTTATATAGGAATAGTTGTCTTTGGTCCTGGCCAATTGCAGAATGAAGCTGATAAACAGGATGTCCCCAGTTATTTTTCTGGCAGATTTCTTCTAAGACCTATAAGAGAAAAATGTATATCAGTTACAACCACATTTTAATGTTCTGGCCCATCTCCGGCCCTACCTGCTGCAAAAATATATTGCTTTCCATGAGTTTTCATCTGTAGATTATATGCACCAAATTCTTAGTTTATATATATATAAACACACCCACACCCACACCAAGTTTTGGAGGTTGAAAGGGTCATAAAATCTAAGAATAATGTAAGCAACTTAAACGTTCAACAATCAATTAATTCATGAAGATAATTGTCACACCACTGAATCTGATGTATTTTCAGTTTAGTCCATTAACTGTTTTACTTTGATGCAGCATTGGAATAATTTCCTTTGACTTCTATTCATTACCGCATTTATACGCTCCAGAATTCTGCATTTTTAGCGTCTGTTAAAGAATTGTGACTGTATTATCCTTCACTTTTTCTCTGCTTCTTCTCCTGCTTAGTGGTGTGTAGTGAATGAATAGTGGGGGTGTTTCCCTCTCCAAATTATTTGCCTAAAACCTAGTTATGTTACATTTCTGCCCAGTTTATTGCAGAGGCTACTTGCTTGCTGATGCTCCTGGTCTGTAATAGAAATTCTGGTATTGCCCTTTTCCTTTACACTGTGTGGAAGCAGGGGAAGAAAGAGAGGGTTTAACTGAGAGTGGAGTTTGTTTCTTCCACAATATATTATTCCACAAAATAAATGATTGTACTCAAATGTTATCACCCTACTTTATACTCCTTCTTCCAAATCACTGAATATATAGAGTGTCCCAAATCAGTCTTAATACTGATAATTAAGAGCTCTACTAGGGGCTCACTATTCTAAATAGCTTTCTATTAATGATGTCCAAGCCAGTTGTTTGTTCAGACAATGTCATCCACCAATTTTATGGATATGAATCCTGATTGGCTCCTCAAGGTGCCAGTTGGCTTTAGAATTAAAGGGGGAGTGTATATAGGGGAAGGCCCATATCCCCTTGGGTGCTCCGCTGCTCATCGGCAAACGAGGGAGATGCAAGGTGACTGGTTCTTGCTTCCCACAATAGGAGCTATGTAAACCCCTCACTGAACCCACATAGATGCCCGTTATTGGGAGATGTGGGACAAGGTTGGTGAAAGATTAACATTGGAGAAGAGCACTAACAAAGTTGCAACCTGCTGCCTATAAACTATTGCTGTGTCTGTCCTCATTCACTTGTGTATCCTGATCAAGTAGCTCTACCATCTACCATGTTCAGTGACCTTAAAATGGAAACACACTACTGCACAAAAGACTATCAGGAGTTTTCCAGTTAAATTTTCATCAAGGCTGCCTCCTCTAAACTGTTTGTTTAGTGTTGTAATGATTTGCACTTAAATTTGCTCAAAGTGCTTTACAAACACTAGTAAATTTACCTCCCTGCTCTCCTCTTAGCTGGGAAAGTATTAATTCTACTTCTTTATAAATGGGGAAATTGAGGCACAGGGCAGTAAATAGACTTCAAAAAGTCATAGAGGAAGGTCTCCTGATTCTATTATCTGATTTATCCACAAGAACATCCCTCTTCTAATGTGATAGACCTTATCTTTGTTTTATAAATGTGTGCAGGCTATTCATTCTTATAGTACTGCTCTGGACGCACAAGCTTATGTTTTTCAAGGCGTCACAATCCATCCATCAAAACTGCATTAGTGATTTTTCACATTTAAAATTTTACATATGTTCAATTTCATTTTAAAATTCTTATTTGCATAAAAAACTCAGATTTGAGTTTGCAAATGGCAGTTGTTCATAAATTGGGTAGTTAGGCAGCTACCTGATTCTCATGTATAAATGCAGCTTGTGTGCAAAAGGGCAAATGTTTGTGTATGCAAGAACTTAGATATGAAAAATTGCACATGCAGAATCTTAAATATGAAAAATTGCTGGCAAAATTTTAGAAGCTGCTTTTAAAATATTTAGCCACCACAGTCCAAAGCTAGTTTATGAATAGCTGGTTAGGCCCATTTTAAGATGTCCTATCAGTATTGAAATCCCATGTGAGACGTGTACATATATATAAAAACTTAGCTGGGGAGAGGAAACAGAATTTGGAAGGGCCTCTCTGAAATGGACCTAGATTAATGAATAATATTGACCAGATTCAAAGGGGAATCTAAGCTACTGTAATTTATACCTTCTTCTATCCTACCACCGTGTGTGTATGTATGTGTGGTACTTTAATTTATATCTGCATATTAGTTGTTTTTCCTTCTAAACAATTTTTTTTTACTCCTTAGCCTGTCAGCTACAATACTCTAGACGCTTTTAGATTCAGTAGGCCAAATGCAGAAGTGATGTGAAAGGGAGTGTAAGTTCTATATTTGGACATGGGTGTGCTCTCAGTGAGTCTGCTGCTCAACTGGTATAATTTACATACTGAAGAAAGTATGAATTACACCAGAGTAGTGTCCCAGGCTTAGATTCACTTAAACCCACCTCGGAATTTGTCCCTGTGACAACATTTTGTATGTTCCTAAGGAAACAGCTTTATCAGGAAGATTTTCATATTAAATAAATGTCAATATCAGTTATATTTCAGGTTGTCTCTTGTATATCCTTAAAATCTTTAGAGATAATTCATCGATAACTATCTAAGAACAGCTTCTGGGCACAGGGTCACAGATTCTCAGGAGACTCACATAGTCATACTTGTGATTGGAGAGAGAGAAGTTTTTAACCATATTTTAGAGGCAATATGCATTCTACTACATGTTTCCTGGGCTAATTAACAGACCTCTTTTATAATGAGCAGTGTCGCTTTTAAATATCAAGGACAACATTTTCAAAAACATCTAAGTGATTTAGAAGCATAAATCCCACCATGTGAGATTAAGTGGTGCATCATGGAAGATATCGTCCAACCAGGGAGCCCAGTCTATAAAGGAGAATGAGAGCATGAGGTACCCGAACTACACCTCCTATCAGGCACTGCGGTGCTACTTTTAAATTGAAATGTTTAGGTTTTCAGGTATTCCATATTTTGATGAAATATCAGAGTTTTCTACGGAGAACAGAAATTTTTTGCAAAAAAACATTTAGTCAAAAATCCAATTCTCCACTGAAAAATAGTTTTGACAGAAAATTTGTGACCAGCCTTAGCCTGTAGGTACTACTGTGATGGTAAGTATTAATAACAATAAGTTTATATCCAATCCAGAACTTCCCCAAAATTCAGGATGGTCTGAATTGAGACTTTTGCGTTGCCCAATTAAAGAGAGAGAGAGAGTGCTCATCATGAAGGTCAGACCCTCAAAATTCCAGGGAATTTTGTTCTGATCTGGGATTCTGTTTTGAGCCTCTCTCTAATTTCAACAAGTTTGTTATCTGTGTTGAGCCCAGTCTTGCATGTCTTACCTATAAATAACGTTGTGACTTCCGTAGGAGTTCTGCTTTTGTCAAGGACTAAATGATTGGATCAGTACATTAACTTTAAAAGGAGGCTTCACTGCAGTAGCCTCAGCAGTAGTCTTTCATGATTGATTATACGGTATGCATAAAGTTCTGCCCTTGGATCTGGCATGTAATTCTCATGGAAATTATGAAAGTCAATGGGAGCTGACATGCTGAGAATTGAGGGCATGTTTAAGTTCACAATTTTTTATTCTGTTACCATATTGGAATGATTATTATAATTTGAGGCCTTTAGCTATGTAGTGTTAATATTGTGATATATTATGCTGTGGAAAGCAGAAACTTTTTTTTAATATGACCCCATTCTTTATGTTTTTCTGTTTTAATGAGTCTTTTTAATTGCTTCCTAAAATAAATGTGGTTTTTAAAAATAAAACATATCAGTAATAATTTCTGAGCAGATATCTCTTTATTAGTGCACCTCCCAAGGATATTCTGGGGCTGAAGTGATAGTAAAAGTAACTTCAATCCAACTTGTGTAGTCTTCAAGAATAGTTGGAACAGGTCCTAAAACAGCAGAACCCTTCTTTAGGCATAACAATAGTAACTTGTAGTTATTTTCTGTAATGTCTCTTTCAAAGATGAGCAGATCAGTGTGTGAACATACTTATGATCAACTATCAGCATTTTCAAAACAAGTAACCATTCAAACTGGGTCTAAATCTATTGTATTGTTCAGAAAGCATTAAAAAAAAGACTAATATGGGTCTGACCAGAGCAATTTTTCCTAATTTATTGTACCTACCTGAGGAGCAAGTTTAATTCCATGTGGTTTTAAAGCGATATGGTTCATTGGGGTAAGCTCCATTCCAGGCAAAAGATCGTAGAGTTTGTCTTCTCCCCTCTTTTCTCCTTTAACCTGGTATCCACGACCCAGGCCAGTGTAAGCCAAATATCCACGTCCTCCTAGTCCTCTAACTCCCGCAGCCCCTACAGGTACATTCATGTAAATTTCTAGGAATGTAAGAAGCATTAAACTGAATCAAATCACCGGAAAATCACCCTGATTCTTACTGTAATGGAAAAGTTAGCCCCATTCACTGATTTCTGATAAGAAGATGGGTAGGAACACTGACTGACTGAGAACTGCTGCAGATTCATACCATACTATTCACCATGAAATAGAACTCACAAGGGGAAGGTTCTTTATTACCTTTGGAGGAAAATACAATAATACCATGAATATAGAGCTAGTATCTACACAACTGTATCATTCTGGCTTTTATAATACTTCTTGGGCAGTTTATTTATGTTTAGTGCCTGTAATTTCAGGCTGCAAGCTACGAGCAGCATAGTTTCCTTAGAAAATTCATTGCAGATTAGAAGATATGGTGAACCAGGAAATTCTAATCGATTACAGTATATAACTAAGATTGTCCTTATTCCTATGGTATCACTTCTCTATTGGATTATCAATAATTTAATCAACATAAACCAGATCTCTACTCCATCATCTTTTAAATTGCTTTCCTAATGTGCCTTGAGATGCTTTAGTTAGAAGGAATGTCATAGTTGTTTCTGACTGACTTTCCCATCTTCTCTGCTCTGTTCAGTCAACATGAGGCTTAACTTTCCATTGAATTCATGCACAGATTACTTTTGATTTTTTGCCATGTTTCTAACCTGATTTACAGTTGAAGAGTAAAGGGACAGTGAAAAATTAGATTGATTACTGCCCATTAGTATAATTTAAGATTTTTAATGAACTTGGAATACATAGATTTCCCCCCCTTCTTTGAACTAATGACCATTTTCTCACATTACAACTGGTTCCTTTCAGAAGGATTGTTTGGGAATTTAGGAGATTAACAAGTGAGAGCATACTAAGGAAAAGGGAACTGAGTGATTTGGGAGTTTTGACACATTTTCCTAATGTAATTTTAGATTTATATATGCACAGTAAAGCTAAACCATGGGCAGCAGCAGTGCAAATTTCCCAAACCATACCATCGAGCCAATGTGTCTTGATTTTTCTCTGAAGGGATCATTTATAGGGGGTTAGAGATTAGGTTAGTTAATTCAATCCTAATCAACTCTACTGAGGACTTCAGACTGAGAACTGTGTTCTTTAGGACATCTTTCTATCTGGAAATGGGTTGAGAACACCATCTGATTTCACTTAGGACATCAATCTGCTGTCAGTTGTTAATGATCTCAGTCACTACTAGAAATGAGTGAGAAGATCTGGATTTTGAACACCCCAAAATTTAATTAAGCCCATTATAAAGTAAGTGGGCATATGTAACATTCACACCTTAGTTTTGGAAATGTTTTGGACCTAAGGTTTCATTCAGGCTCCTCTAGTCACTGCAAATTTGCACCAGTAATTTCAAAATTAAGTTTACCAATCCCTTATACTATCCATTCCGACAGGAAACAAAACAAAAACTCTGCTAAGAAGCATAACCTTTTATCATGTTAAATAGTTAATGTTTTGCAGGCTTTCTGGCCGCCCCAAGCAAAAAAAAAAAACCGGGGCGGCCAGAACAGCAAAGAAAAAAAAAAAAAAAAAACCTGCAGAGCGGCTGGAGCCAGGGTGCAGGGGGACTCCATGCCCTGCAGAGAGAGAAGGGGGCGGCCAGGGCTTCAGCGGGGCGCTACCACGCGGCCCCTCCCGCCGTGCCCCTGCCGGGAGGGCTCTGCTCCGCTCCGGTCGGCTGGGAGGGAAGGACGTGGGCTGCCCTGCTGGGCTTGCTGCAGGGCGCTTCCGTCCTCCACACCGCTGCCCCCTACAGGGCGGCCAGAGCGGAACAACAACAACAAAAAAAGCGGCAGTGCTGCCCTAGGATTGGGTGGAATGCCGCCTCCTACAAGTTGCCGCCCCAAGCACCAGCTTGCTCGGCTGGTGCCTGGAGCCAGCCCTGATGTTTTGTCTATACTGTGATAGATCAAAATTGGAACTATATATCCAAATCTGTGGTGGTGAGACATAATAGGACCCCAGATTGAACTACCAACCATTTGATTGTTGCAAAATTAAAACCCAACCAACAAGATAGTGCAACAAAACCACCCCCAGTTTTGATCTCTGTAGTCAACATACTTGAAAAGATACTTAATGTCGACAGTGTAACCTGCTGGTGCTTATGGCCACTTCTTGGAGCACAGTGTGAAGCACTTTCTTGTTTTCATCTCTGTTTTGGAGGTTCATTTTTCATTCCCTGTAACGATGCTGTACTGCTGCTTAGAGCCCCAGAATGACTAGGGTAATGGCCTGGCTAGAAAATGTCCTGGTTGTGGGGAGATAAGAGTCAATACACAGAGCACTGAATCTCCTGGGACTGGTTAGTTTTCCTGAAACTCAGCCTTGAGCCATTAAAAGGAGGAGAAAATCAACTGCTAGGCTTCTGGGACTGAATCAACAGCCAGCTGTGGGCAAGGAGTTCTGTTTTGAGTGGAAAACTCTTGTTTTGTTTGTTTTTTCCCTCCTGGGACAAAATGGAGGAATTTTGGTTTGTTTATTTTGGAGCAAGAGTAATTCAGAGACTGTTAAAAGACTTTCGGCTTTCTCCTGGGCTGATGAGGGAGTATATATATATATATTTGTTTGCTTAGCCTGCCTGAAGGTTCTCATCCCCTTTTAAAGGAGAGGTTCCAATGACTGTGGCTATTTTCCAGTGTATGAAGGCTTTCAGTCGCTTTCTTAAAAGGATGCATGACCTGAGGCTATGCAGAATTATAGAATGCTCGGCTATATGCATAGGTCTGTCCCAGTGAATGGAGATTGTGGTAGGTGTAAAAAAGAGGAAGTAACTGAGAAAAGCAGGAAATTTGAGAGACTATTGTGTGTGCCAGGAAGATTATTGAATGTTTCAGTGCTAGCAATTGGAACTCCTAAGAACGGTGGGCTGGAGTTTCTTCATAGTGAGGAACCATTGGATAATGACCTTGGGACACTCCTCAGATCATTAAAGAGTTGGGGGAGCAGCCCCAACTTATGGTCCTTTCTGAAGTCCCTGCGTGATGGGGGTATGCGTCAACTCATATAATCCGAGGTGGTTTATGCTAATTTCTCCATTTAGTTAAAACTGGTGTATGCCTCAAGTTTTTAAAAACTTTTTAGTGGAACCAGCTTTAATGTGATGCATGGATGCACAGCTTTAATGTGGTGCATGGATATTTGATTTCATAAATTTACCTCCTACTCTAGCTATGAAGCTATTTCAAAGATAGATTTCTGGATTGCCATAGACATAGCTGCTGGAGTTACCTCTAATAGATGGAGGTCGGATAATGCCCCTACTGCTGAGGTCACCCTTGGTGGCAGGGAAATGAAGGTTAGGAATAGCTGCGTAGGCCTGAGGTGCATAGAAGACTGGAGCTCCAAGGTAGGCTGTGGCGGGATCATACACATGTCCAAACGTGTAAGTGTATTCTCCTTGTAGCACGGTACCTCGTCCCCCTGTGCCTCTGGTGTGTCTAACGTAACTGTCTTTGTCTACTGGTTTTGCTAATGTCACTTCGATAGGGGAACCATCCAGCACCTTTAAAACAAGGAGAAATGCATGGAAAAATGCAAGGGAAGCACAAATGCAGTACAATGTCCAACATCATAATGACTGTGTTGTACAAGCCCAGCCAAGTTCTGCATTTTGCTAACCACAGCTACTTAGGTGGGGTGGCTGAAAGAGTTTGAGAATCTTCTGCAGTGAGGCCATGTTCCCAGGGGCAGAAAGGCAAGATGGCCCCTGGCTGCTGTTGCAAAATGTGTGAACCATGGCAGTCTGCTCGTCTTCTGCCTGCAGCTGCTGTGAGGTTAGAGGAACTTGGGCTATGTCTGCGCTTGGAGCTAGAGTGTGTGATTCCTAGCTCCCAGTGACATACTCATGCTAGTTCCCAAGGAGCTACTGCACTAAAAATAGTGCACTGCAGCTCAGGCAGTGGTGAGTGGCAGTGTGGGCTAGCTGCCCCAGGCACAAACCTTCCTGGACCTCGTGGGTGGGTACTCAAGATGCTGGCCTGTGCCACTGCTGCCTGTGCTACCATGGCTACACCACTGTTTTTAGCTCTCTGAGAGCTAGCACAAGTATGCTTATTTGAATCAGAACCCCAGCTCCAAGTGTAGACATAGCCTTAGAGACCCTCCTCTTCTGCCCACAGTAATGTGTAAATTCAATCAACCGCTCATTTTAAAACTGCACTTTCTGATAAGGTTCAAAATTAGGTGAGGTCTGTTTGCCCCTTCCCTAACCCAAACATTACCATTTATATTAACCTGAAAACAATAATGAGCACATGAAAATGGAAGCCAGTTTTCCTTGTGATGTTTATTGTAAGTACCCCATCTTCAGTGTTGATTCCAACAGGTGATGCAAAATATGTATCAATGGGCTTCATGCAATTTTTCAGTGAGGTACTGTAGTGCAGCATCCTTCAATGGAAAAGTGACTTCATTACCTATTTTCCCAAGACAGATGTTCAAGATAGTGATTGCACACCTCAGAACATGTGGAGTATATTTGTACATGCATAAGGTGGCTTTATATAGCTTTATTCAGCTTCTAGATTGAAAAGCACTGCAATTACAAGAAAAATAGTCTCTCTGAAGAGAGTTTTTGAGCTGTATTATACCTGATCAATGACTGTTTGTTTTACCAGAGGCAAACGGATTTATTTTCTTAGCAAGCATGTATTCAGTTGCAATGCAGAGTCTATAGAGGGTGTGGATTAAATATCCCATATCTTTGAATTCATGGATCCTGAATTTCCTCTCTTGCTGTCATGTTCTCAGCACAGGAATATATTTTTAATATGTGTGTAGCTCCTATTAATGTAATTTGGGTTTATGTTAATACACTTTTTTAAACTACACTCATCAGAGCAGGGGCTATTCCTATTTGTTTGGAAAGGATTTGGCACATTTGAAGTGATTCCTCAGTAGAAGCAGGAATAAAAGAGGGATGAATAACACCCCATGATAAATATGTAATACTATTATATAATATTATACACAATATTTGCAACATATGAAAATAATAAAATAGTTAATAACTCTTAAGACCTGGTTATTGCATTATAATTTCAAAATTGTATATGACATTAAAATTGGCTGAAGTCTGGGAAAAAACAGCTTTTACAGATCTTTGTTTGAATTCTGAACAGCTGTTTTGGTTTGACCATTGCACATTGCCTTGTTTTTTGTTGACACATAAGGAAAGGGTATTCAAAGTGCTAGCATGGGATTTTGTGACCTGTTATTCAGTATTAGTCATTTGTTCACTATTCTGTTTCTTGCATCGAGTCAGAACAGAACACTACTATGTGATTTAGGTGACAGTTTCCCATTATGCAGATAAATAGTAAATAGTCAAAATGAATAGTTTGTGAACACCCAAAAGGCTGAAACTTGATTACATAAATTGCAAACAATTACTAAAAAGCAAATACAGTTGTATGACACCAATATACTATGAATGCTACTAGTCCAGCATTACCTTCCCATTTAAGGCTTTCATAGCTTCAACTGCATCGTCTCTGTTATTAAAGTGTACAAATGCATAGTCTCTGATTTTCTTTATTCTTTCAACTGCACCTACAAAAATGTTGGGATATTAGTTCTGCAACTGTCTTTTCAAAGGAATACAGATTTGAATTAACATTCTGGGTTGTGTTTTTAGCACTCAGTTTTATAAACCACAGTTCTGATCTGCAGACACTTATGCATGTGAGTATCTCACTGAACTTAGTAAGATTACTTGTGTGTAAAGCTAAGCTTGTGCATAAATGATTGTAGCGTCATGATCAAAATGAGTAATTACTGAACCTGTCATGATATAGTTTTAATTTGGTCTGATTACCCAACTCAGAATGTTACACTTCTCAGAGTTTAAAAGTTTGAATGAACTAAATTAACTAAGTATTCTACAGACCTGGTATTGCCAAGTACTTTTTAAAACTACATTTGGTTTAGTTTTTCATTTATAAAAAGCGACAAAGAGTCCTTATAGACTAACAAATGTTTTGGAGCATAAGCTTTCGTGGGTGAATACTCACTTCGTCAGATGCATGTAGTGGAAATTTCCAGAGGCAGGTATAAATATGCCTGCATATATATTTCCACTACATGCATATTTATTTCCACTACATGCATCTGACGACATGAGTATTCACCCACGAAAGCTTATGCTCCAAAACGTCTGTTAGTCTATAAGGTGCCACAGGACTCTTTGTCGCTTTTTACAGATCCAGACTAACACGGCTACCCCTCTGATACTTTTTCATTTATGGTTACTGAAAAGTACAGTTAATTTAACAGAAAAAGTAAACCTAAATATATGTGATATTAACACACTAAAGTAAGAGTAACCCTTTTTAACTAACAAGTCAAGGCTACCCTTGCAGGCCTATTTTCAGATATATGATCAGCTAGATCAGACTTGGTAAAAATCAGAGCTGAGAAGGAAACCACGGGCAGTAAATGGAAATAGAGCAACAACCTTTACAGAGTGCAATAGAATCATCATCTTAGCTTTTAAGTGAAGCTCTTGAGTATTCTAGAACAAGATATATGAAAAATTAAAAAAAAATTACAGTGAGAAAGTGTATTCAAGTGCATTTCAACTCAGTGGAATTTTTATGTCTGGTAGTCTCCACTACAATGTCTGAATGCAACAGTCAGCTGATTATGTAATATATTCTTGAATTATGTCAGATTCCATAGAACATTCACATTCTGTTTGCTTAAAATGTCATTTGGAGTCATATGCTTGCATGATGGATTCAGATTTCTTCTAGGTAAGTGTGATACAAATTCCCTTTGGTTTTGTTTATTTCTTGCAGCTTGTTCTGACTTTTACAGCCTCAGCACAGCCAGCAAATTTAGAAGCACTAGTTTCCTTTTACAATAATTTGTCTCTTTCTCACTTTGTATCAGAGCCTTTTCCTGTTTCCCCACTGGCTACATGAGAGGTGATGTGTGTGTCAGCACACATTATAAAGTCAACGAACAGGTTTGTCATCTGTCCTGAAGAATGCAAGGCAGTCCTGATTTCTGAATATTTGTTCTACCTTCTGATTGCCAAGCAATTTTGAAAAGCACATGAATATACAGACACATCAGCCAGACAGCAGGAGTGAACAAGGGTCAGAGAGAGAAGCGTTACTTTAAATCCAATTAGTTTATAATCGATGGTGTATTGATTATGCATCAGTTTACAGATTTTCAGTGAAAATGTAGGATTTTTTGATCAATACAACAGGTCTTACTGGGTCTGTTGTAAGGTACATTTATGCAAACAAGTGCAATTTGGACTGCCTCTGAGGAAAACTTTAATGAGAGTTAGAACTTCCATGAGAGAACCTGCACTGTGATTCTGACCCAGCATGAAGAGCAGAGCTGGCAGTAAACATGCACAATAAGCACCTGCTGGCATGGGAACAAAAAATGGGTATGCCAAAGGAAAGATGGTCATGGGACAGACCTGGACTATATGCCAATTTCCTCATACTCTTTGAAAGCTTTGCATCCAAAATATCTAACTCAAGCTGCCCAAGTCTCTCTAAAATAAACTTTTCTTTTTCTGTCTGATATGGTCAGGCAGATAAAGAATGGACTGCATTGTGCTGTAGTCAAAATTGGGCCAAATTCTCAACTGTTGTAAATTCATAGATTCCATGACCATAGAACTTCCTCATAACAATTCCTACAGCAAAATACAGAGGTAAAATAATCTCTTTGCTTCTATTCACTATTCCTGTGTTTATTCATCCCAGGATCACATTAGCTCTTTTGGCTACAGCATCATATTGGGAGCTCACATTCAGCTGATGTTGCCCATGACCCCCAAATCAAGTCATTGCTTCCCAGGATAGAATCCTGCACTGGATAAGTGTGGCCTAAATTCTTTGTTCCTAGATGTATACATTTACAATTAGATGTATCAAAACACATATTGTTTGTGCCCAGTTTACCAACCGATTCAGGTAACTCTGAATCAGTGACCGGTCCTCTTCATTATTTACCACTCCCCCAATTTTTATGTCATCTGCAAACTTTATCAGTGATGGTTTTATGTTTTCTTTCAGGTCATTGGTAAAACAGTGTAGGGCCAAGAACTGATCCCTGTGGGACTCCACTGGAAACACACCCGCTCAGCAATGATTCCCCATTTACAATTACATTTTGAGACATATCATTTAGCCAGCTTTTAATTCACTTAATGTGTGCTATGTTAATTTTATATTGTTCTAATTTCAGCATTCTTTGTTTAGTTTGTTCATACAGAGACCGAGGTGATCACTGGTTTAGTGGTTAATTGAATTCCACAATTATTGCAATGGAGACGACTCTATGACAGAAGGGTGTGAGGCAATCTGAGAAAACAAAAGGGCCATTCTTTGCAGCATTGCTCATCTAGAATCCAATTCAAAGTTTTCTGTACTTTTTTGAATCTACTTCTGCTGTAGTTTTTCACCTTTATTTAATGTGCTGCCAGTACCAATTTTTTTGGAACTGTGACATTCAGCACCAACCCGAGTAATTGATTTTCCTACCAAAAATAGATGCATCTGTTTCTGTTTCCTGCGATCAAAGCTTTAAGAATTGATCTTCCTTATTTTTTTTAATGGCTCTGTCTTCTCCATTCCCACTTGCTGGAAGTGCATTTCTATCCTCTACTGCTACTGAGACATCTACTATCATAGATACAGATCCTGCAAAAAAAGGTGGCACGTGAATGCTAAGTTAGGGCTTGTCTACACTTGAAATGCTACAGTAGCATAGCTGCACCACTGCACTGTACTGCTGCACCACTTCAGTGTAGACACTACCTATGCTGATGGGAAGGATTCTTCTGGCAGCCTAGCAGTGTCTACACAGTGACTTAGCTCGACTTAACTATATGGCTCAGAGGTGTGGACTTTTCAAACCCGGCCCGATGCAGTTAAGCCGACCTAATTTCCTGGAGTAGAGCAGATCTTAATCTTATGGTTTTTCCTTCTTCGAATGCTGAATTGGAACACAGGGAATTGTGTTACTGCAGTAAGTAGTACTTACTGAAACAGTTGCAGCAACATTTTTTGGGGTGGGGTGGGCATTAAAGGCAAGGTATTATTGGCTGTGAAACAAGAAGGTATCATAGCTAGTACTGGAAGCTGGGTGCACTACTTCAAAATGACACTCGGGTTGACTTTTCTAAAATGATACCAGTATGGGGGGTAAGGCTTAGGGAGGCAGAGTGGCTTGCTTTTGGGTATGTAGCTGGAGCTTTTCTAACATCACTTGAAACTTGATGGGATCTGCAAGGTGATCTACAGCTTTCGAATGAAAGGGGAAATATATCCGAGCACTTTGCTGCCCATTGGCCAGCCAGCCAGAAATGGGAGCCAATTGACTTCTTGCTCCCCATAATCATAAATTTAACCCCTTGCCTGGGATTTCTTGAGCAGAATTTTGGTTTATTACCATTAATTCCTTCACAAGAATGGAGCAGACAGGCAGAAGAGACTACATCATAATACGTATTCCTGTCTCTTGTGCCCACATTTACAGAGAAACTGTTCTTTGGCTTCCATGTCAGATATTAGTGCGCTCTGGGAAACAAAAATCTTTTATCCAGGCTTAGGACTGTGTGAACAAATTTGAAAAGTTAAATTCAGTAATGGGCCTCTCATTCTAGGTGCTGTTGCCCTAATTGTCCAGAGTGCTCTAGACTCTTTGTGCCATTTGAATGGCACAAAACAACCCAAAAGCAAGCATTGAATTTGGCACTGCAGCTTTATAAAATATAATAGTCTTCATGCTTTATTTTGCCCTTGGATCATTTACAACATTACCACCAAATTTAATGGGAAATGTGGGTTTAAGAAACTCTTTGGAATCTGATCCATAGTGGCAGCTCTAGTTTTTAACTCCTCTAAACTGAACGATTTGTTACGGGATGTTGTATTACTGTCAAAATGCTTTCCAGGTACAGGATCACTGGGTCAAATGTACATTTCAGTAACAAGGTGTTGCAATACAGCATTATATCCAGTGCAAGAGGCTCAGGGGAAGGGAAAAATAATTTCAGACTGTTCCTGACATTTCTAATTATAATTTCATTATAACCCCAGAGCTGTGCTTATTTCCCCGAAGGTCATATTTAGCTACTATATACACAGTTTTTTAAAACATGCAACATCCTCAAAAATGAGTTGTTCCAGATTGTTAATCTGTCTAAATAATAAAAATAAATATTATTAATAAAAAAAGAGGGAGAGACAGAGAAATTTCCAGTTTTCATCCCTGCACGGGATGAAAATCTGTGGAGAGGAAAATGATAAAACTGTAGAAATATATCATTAAAGCAAATGCAATTTAAAAGCTTCCATAAACTGTTTTGGAATCCGTTTCCTTTGAGCAAATTTGGTTTAAGTGAAAAATGATGGAGTTTTATAGACACTTTAGGTGACAATAAACATGTTTTTTAGGGAGTGCTAATAGGTTAAATGTTCTGGAGCAAATTGGGATTAATAATGGGGGAAGAAGCTGAAAGTAAAATGATTTATCTAACAACTTCATGTTTGCTAAAAGTATTATACTGAGGGATTAAAAAGACAGGAATGACTCATATAGGAATTTCTAATAGATCTTTCAGCTGCAGCCTAATGTGAAAAAGAGAAATTTATGGAGCCAGAGACAAAGCAGAAGAGTTAAGATGCTCTGCAATACATCTTTAAACTTTAAGGAGAAAGTTAATAGAAGTGAGTTAAATCACGAATGATTTCCTGATGCTGAGCACAAGAAAGTAGTGCAGAGATTATTGTATTTCTTGGAGTGCCAAAATGCACTTCGTTATATAGAGTAGAATCCTTAGGACTTTTCATACACCATTTTGGACTGCCGCAGAGCTATTTGACTTGCCAAACCGCCCTGAAAATGTCAGTTGTGCTGTCAATTAGAAAACAAGCAGCTTACTGTATGATCTAATGCCAGCAGTGGCTGTTTTAGGAACTTAAACTGGGAGAAAATTGTTTCAGCACTTGAATGTTTTACAGGGGAAAGAACAGCTATGTTATCCTTTACGTTGGTGTTCCATCAATTTAATATTTCAGAGAAACAGACCAACTACTGTTAGTTTACTATAACTGAACAATATGTACCAATTTAATGGACTTAAACCCTCAACAGCTAAAAACCTACTTTATGTCATTTCCTACCTGGTTTAATATTGTTGAATTCTTTTTCAATCGTCTCTTCAGTGGTTGATAGCATAAGGTTTCGCACATAGAGGATTTTAACTGATGACATTGTATCTTCATCAACTTCAACTTCTGGTTCTGCCCAGTCTACAGCAATAGGATGTCCCCATAACTGTATTCTTCCTGCAAAAAATAATAAATAATTGAAAGTACCATTGTTCAGTTGGTTTCTAGGCATATTGGTCTTTTGTATAAAATTATGCTGTGGTAGTAGAATGGACTGATTATACAGAAGGTCTAAAATTTAATGCTCAAACAGTGGCACATGTACCATGTGTATCCAGAAACAGATAGTCAGATGTCCAGATTTTATTCTTCTAACACTGCAGATATGCAGCATCCAACAAGGATGGAGAGAAAATATGGTACGGTCCTCAAATATTTTCATTCTATGAACCACTCAGAGAGATCTCTTAATGAACCTGCTTCTCTTCCAAAAATCCCTTCCCTCCACTGTTTGGTTTCAAAATGTTTCTTTCTGCAGCTGATTGGAAGGGACTCCACAGACTACAGTATGACAAACACTGTGATTCTAATAAGTTTAAGTAAGACTTATGTTCTCAGAAATTTGATTTGTGTGCAGTAGTTTGGTCCCTATAGAATAGTGCTTCAATGGAAATAGCGAAGATAGGGGAATGAAAGGTAATAAATAATTACAAAAAGGGCCTTATGTGGGGGAAAGAAATCTCACTGACTTAGTGTGTATTGGATGAGTCCCTCAAGGAGAAATTGTAACTGATTTGGGGAGCTCTAAAGGGAAAAAATTAGATGGCTAAAAATCAGTGCAGCATCATGACAGCATCATGACAGCATCATGAATCTCATGTCCATAGTAATAATTTACATTTGGTTAATTAATCCACTGCTTTTAAATTCATCAAGAGTGTTGGCATAGCTTTGCATATAACCACAGAGCTGGTCTTGAGGTCATGCAAATCATGCTAATGAGCACTGGCAAACAGCCTTTTGCAGAGGCACCTCTTGTCTCCTACAGATGGTGACAGTAACTGCTTCGACCAGCTTTCCTTCCATTCCTGCACATCTTGTAGGGAATTACTCCTCTTCCAACAGTAATTGAAGCTTAGCTCAGCCGCAAAAATCTCAGGACCTTATTTCCTGCCCAATCTTGTCCTGGATTCACCCAATAATATCATAGATGTTGTGATAGACTCAGTGCTTTTTCATTGGCAATTTTGATGAGTTCAGCAAACTGGTAATGACTAAAAGTAGTCATTTGATAGGCTATCAATTAGCCTATATTAGTAACATGTATGGCTTTGGTCCAGTTCTCAGTGATCATATTCAAATAATCAGTAGAAATAACAGGTTGGTTTTGCTAGTAGTCTCTTCAAGGCATAAATAAGCTTGGACACCGAACTTCCCACATACTAGAACTTGATAAACTCCCTGAGTTCTATATATCCACAGAACAGTGGAAGCTTTACTTTTTAATGAGAGCTTAAATATACCTTAAAGCAAAACATATCTTAAGACTTTGCCCACTGCATCATGTGGTGATGTCACAGTATAATTTATTTTAAAAGCTTTGAGTGATATTAATTTGGCCAGCTGCATATGATCTTAAATTATGCTCACATGCCAAGGTGAATATAGAATATACAAAAATGGCTATCTAGCGACATACTTTGGAGGAAGATCCGAGAGCATTTTACAATTATTTGAGTCTCACAGAACCTCTGTGAAGTATTATTCCTATCTGGCAAATGGGAAAACTGAAGGAGTAGGATTTGGCCAAAGTTGCACAGTGAGAGTCAGAGCTGCTTAGAGAATGTTGAACTCTTAACCCCATCTCCATGCTTTTGTCACTATTCCACACTTCTGCCCATATGTAAAGTTCAGTATAAACATGGAACTTTTGTAATGCTAGATGTGTTGTAAGAGTGATGGTACCAAGATCTAGTTATCTTTTCTGACTTTCATTGCACACAATTTGAAGATCTAATATTGATTTTAATAATGCATGGTGACTTTCACATGATATGTGTGTTATGGAAGCTGTTCTTCTAAAGGCCAGTTCTGTAAACTTATCTTGGGGACAGACAGTCAAGTTGGTTTCTTTTCACCTTGATTATAATAATTATTATCACAAGTACTAGAGGTTCTGTAGGCCAATTATAAACTACCTATGTAACTCTACTGTATTCAGGTTACCCCCTTAGTAAAACCTGTACACGCCTACTTAAAAATTAATCAAATCTCATGGCTAAATACTAATAAATTTTGCTCATGTCTTCAAATGTAGCAGCTAGTACATTCTTATTCAAAGATATTCCTTGTGTAATATAAGTCTAGGCATAAATGCAATTCCTCATTAGAGATTGCTTTGTTAGGCTCCAGTTAGGAAAGCATCCCTATTCAGGAAAACGCTTAAGCACATTTCTAAAGCTAATTATGTTCATAACTACTTTCCTGAATAAGGGCCTCAAATTGTATTCTCCAAATCCTGCAAGGTTCTGAGTACCTTTGACTCCAACTGTAGTTAATGGGAGTCCCCATCCTCCCTGATTAGGGCCCATAAATATTCCCACATTCAGCAATCTTGCCATCTCCCCCACCATCTTGGGAAGAAAATATTTTTCTTCTTTAATGCAACTTTAAATCCTTGCAAAATCTGTAGCAGCTATACTATTTCAAATATATTAGATTT